CATTTCCACACTCCAAAGCGCCTCTCTTATGGGATTGGCCTCCTTCCCTCCCAAACCCTTAAGGGAGAAGCTAGTCAGTTTAACAGGCAGGAACTTAAGCGCTTGGCCCCACCTCCCTTATTTAAATGAAGAAAACACCCACTCTGGTGCCCAGAAGTGGTAGTCTTAGGAAAACACCACTTGTCTACACTAGTAGACAAGATAAATGAAAGCACACAAGGTAATCTGTTTCCAAGAAAAACTCAATAATAACGTGTCTAGGTGGCCTGAACAAGTACCAAGGCCACCTAAATACATCATTTTTTTATTTATATCATATATATTATTAAAAACTTTATTTTCTTTCATCTTGTCTTTTCCTTCTCTAGGGCATCAAGTTGAAATCAGTGCATTTTTCGTTATTTGGGTAAGTGTAAAGTTTCATATTTTTCCAAAATACAAGGCCAGATACCCCTTATAGCCAATAAGGACCATTAAACCATTTCAATCATTTCAGTTCACAGTTAGTAAAGTGTTCAAGGAATTCAAATCGATTTTCGTTATCTGCCTAAGTAATAACGTAACAGGCAAGTTTTAAAAGTGTGGTTTTATTTTAGTCAAGAAGTCACAAAGTCAAAAAGAAAAGCTATGATGATTATCCATATCGATTCAATAATTAGGACAACACTGCATAGATTGAATTAGGACTCTACTGAACAGACTGATCAAAAAAAAGATAAGTAGTTACTCTCAAATTAAACATAACAGTATAAATCACATTCTCTGGGACTTTTCAGTAAACTAAAAGGACTTAATATTTGTTTATATTTCACTAAGTACGGAAAATATTAGACTTTGATTTTCATGTATCTTCCCATTGACCTAAACTATGACAATACTTTTTCAACTGAACTCTTTATTTGAAAACCTCACCCTGTCTAAAGGTGACGAATCACAATTATACAAGGTAACTGATACTGCAGAGAGCAGTATAAGCATGACTGCCAACATAATTCTTCAGATTCAGGAAAATTTTTCCAGTGAGTGTAGCCTTAGTCTTTATGAAAATGACTAACATATATTTCAATCAAAGATTCCACTAAAAATGAATTTTGAAAAATAATTCATTGAACTTCTTCCCCAAATTTAATAATTAAAGGGGGCAAAGTATGCAAACCTCATTCAGGCCAGTGTTCTATGCTACCATTATCCATATAACAATCAAAATACGTTTGTTTGGGGGAAAAAAACAACCTTCATATCCACACTCTTAAAAAACACAGGTCGGACCGGCCGAGTGGCGNGTATTTTGAGGGGAAAAAATAGTACAGCTAAATATATGTGCAAAGTACAAATCTGGAAGAATATACCAAAAAATAGTATATTAGTGGTCACCAATAGATTTGGATGACTGATGGACAAAGGTGGGATAGAAATTTCACTGTTCACTGTTACATACCTTTCGATTTTGAGCAATCTGAGTGTATTACTTAAAAAAATTTTTTTTAATTTATTTATGGGATACAAAGTACTAGCTAAATCCAAGTTCCAAAACAGGAGAAGCCTATGAGGTCCCACTTAAAAACTGTAGTGAGAGGGGAAAGGCCGTATTCTGAAACTTCTCAACACTCGGCCTATCTAGGGAAGGAATAGATAAAAACATGGCCAATCAACAATACTGGCCCAAGAGCTCTTTTTTGTTTTTGCTTTTCTGGGTCTTGAATTTCTGGGGCCACACAAACTATAGGTAATTCAAATGCAAAATAAATAAATCAATCACAGTATTTGATCTCTATTGTTAAGACTGAAGGGTGAAAAATAAATCATGATCATAGATTAACATCAAATATCCCTGTGATGTTTTTATCACATCTGTAGTCATTACTAGGAATCACTATTTAAAATTGATGAAGTATACTTACATCAATACATGCACAAGAAAAATGTCTAACACTTCAGCTAAGCTTTGAGGTAACACTCAACACAAAAGGTTTCCAATGAAAGGAGATGCAAAGCTTTACACAACAAGAACCAATTTTACAGATCCATTTTTATCATGCCTTTATTTCTGACTAATATGTCTAAATATGGACATTTTGCAATTTCCTACCAGTGATAATATTAAAATTAATTGTATTATTTCTAAAAAACACTGGCAACTTGTCCATTCTCTGCAACAGTTGCTTGAATGTTCAACATAAAGTTAGTATATGACCCAGCAATTCCACTCCATGGTATATACACAAGAGAACTGAAAACGTGTCCACACAAAAACTTGTACACAGATGTTAAGTGCAGAATTATCTGTAATAGTCAAAAAGTGGAAACTCAAATGTACATGAACTGGTGATGATTAAACAAAAGATGCTTTATTCATATAATAAAACATTATTTAGCCATAAAAAGGAATAAAGTATTGATACATACTATGGCATGAATGAACCTTGAGAACAATGAAAGAAATCAATCACAAAAGGCCACATATTGCATGCTTCCATTTATATAATGTCCATAGTAGCAAATATAAAGAGACAGAAAGTAAATTAGTGGTTGCCTAGGGCTGGAAGGAAAGAGGGGAATTGGGGAATGACTGCTAATGGGGGCAGAGTTTCTTTGGGGAACAATATAATGTTCTAAAATTGATTGTACTGATGATTGCAAAATTCCAAATATATTAAATACCATTGACACTTTAAGAGGCTAAATTATACGATAAATGAATTATAACTTAATAAAACTGTTTTGGCAGGGGGAACCTTCTTGCTTCCCATAAATTGTATCTTTACTCATGAGATGTATCTTTTCCAAGTCACCAAACCTCATGGCCTTTTCTTAATCTTCTTGCAACCTTTGATTCTCTACCTTCCCTGCTCTCCTCGGCAAGCATGCCAATCTACTATCCTAGCTCTTCATGGCCCCTCCATCTCCTCCCAGCTTTGTTCTCTTAACATAACTCTCAGACAGCCTGTCCATGAGCATATTCTCAAATGTCTCCTTTAGCAGTTTCATCCACTGNGTCCTCCACAACTAGACTGAAGAACAAAAGGACAGCAACTTGTCTGTTCCCCTTACCCCAATTCCCCAGCACTGTTCCCCTCCCCCAAGTCCCCAATACAAATCTTTAAAAAAAAAACACACAGGTCATCATTCAAAATTCTAAAGCTCACTTATTCATGTGAAACACATTATTCCAAAATGTATTTTACATCATTTTTAAGTTTATACTATTTATAAATAAGTAAACTTTTTCTAAAAGGATTGATACATCACTTGAGAAAAATGTAATGAAATACTCAACATGATATAAGTATGACTTGAGAAAATTAAAGTTATTCTAAACTGTGAAGAAAAAAGGAAAACTTAACTTTATTCAATTTTATATTCATAGTTGCCATTATAGTATATCCCCCAGCTATTCATTAGCCTTCTTTCCCCAGACGCACAGTGACTCTGTGCACTGGTAATCTCAGGACACCATCTTCTGAGTAAAGGAGAGTAATTTGCAATTAAAAACTGAATTAAGTTAGATGAAACTTCTCTTGTGTATGTGTTTTGAGAAAAGGTAAGATTTGGTGGTAAGCATATATCAATCTTCTTTCTTGCATTACTTTTCTGCTTTTATCCATAATATATAATCAACCTGTCTTTGACATTGTAAAACTTGTCATTAATAGTTACATATTCACCTCGAATATATCATTCCCAAAATACCTCATAATAGTAATAATTGCTAACAGTTATGAGGTGTTTGCTATGTGCCATACACTGCATAAGTGATCGTCATGTTAACTCAGCTAATCTTCACAACTCGACAAAGTAGGAATTATTACCCCATGTTATATAAATGGGGAAACTGAGTCAAGGAGAGGCTGCGAGGTGTCCAGAGACACATGGCTAATGATTGGTAGAACTGGTATAAGAAGTATCACTCACATTAGGAGGAGACCACATATCCCCAAATCGGATGGCTCTGGGACCACACTACGATAGAACTGGTCCCCACCATAAATGTTCACCTTCCTTGACTATACTAGGACCAAGCTGAAAGTGTTAACAGAAGGGTTAAAATCTACAAAGCATGATTAAAAATGCAGCTTCACAATTAAACAAGAGAATATACAGAAAACACAGCTAGGACTTTCAGTAAACTCCTGGGCAATTTTCCAAGGGAAAGCACGGCCCGGCGCGACAGCACAGGTGCCCTGATATGAGAGCCCAAACACAAGAGCCACAATCCTGTCAACTTGGGAGGATCTACTCTATCACCTCCTTCCTCAAACTCATCTGTTTTACCTTCCTGTCTTATTTGATTGCCCTAGTAGTCTTCTCAACCAAAAAAATTTATGTGTTCACTACACTCCTCTAAGCTGATTTACACAAATCTAGCTTCTCTAAGTCTGAGCAGCAGAAGTTGGTCTTCTGAAGGCCTCAATCTCCCCTGGATAAACTCATCCTCAAGGTTCCAAATTAAGAAAACTGACAGACCCTCACTCTAGTGTACAAACAATTCCAGCAAACTTGAGCACCTCCCCCACTGAATGTCTGCAGCTAACTGGAGACCAACCTAACAAACACACTTCACAGAGCATAGCTGCAGGATATACACTGAACTGTTAGGTGGTGAGGAAACTCCTCCTCCCAAGTTAGACACTTCTAAACAGTTGAAATTTTTTCTTTTTCTAAATATATATTACTTTTGGGGGGAGTTAACTTCAGGAATTTTCCTACTGAAAATATGGAGGATATTTAAGTATACAATCACCAGTAACTTTTATATACATGAATCTCACAAAACAAAGGGAAAAGGAATTTAAGCAACTTTTTTATATTACTCAGAAAAGTCCTCAGTGAAAACAACCTAACAATAATAGACAGGCTTCTTCACAACTTTGTTAATATTGTTCGGAAACACTGGTCATGTAATTGATGGTTGACTAACTCAACAGTTTCAAGTCATTTAAGAATAACAAACATAAACTCACAAATATTTTAAGTAAAACATAAATAGAGAAAAGAAATACCTCAAGTTCCACCAGAGCTGCAGTTACTGCATCTGTTGCAAGAGCACCAGCCTGTAGCTTTTCAATTGCCTACAAAACCAAGGGGATTTATAAATTTATAATTTATCCATTATAAAACCACAACTTCTCAAACATACCCAGAAACGTTTCAAAGGCTTAAAAAAGTGTAGGATATATAGAGTTAATAAAAATTGATCACTAGTTCCATTCTATACTTCAAGATATAACTACTTAGATTTAAAACAAGCAAGTATTTATATTCAGGATAACTTATGAAACAATTCAAAATGTTTATCTTTCACAGTCATTTTGACATGGGGATGAGCCAGAAGTTGCATGGTGTCAGATCCAGTGAATAAGGTGGATGAGGACACACCGTAATGTTTTTGACAGAAACTGCTGTACCAGAAACAATGTGTGACACGGAGCCTTTCCATTGTGATCATAAAATACGGTGAATGCTACTGCCCAGTGCCATCCAACAGAAAGACAGGGATCTTCGATATGGGAAGCAGCGTGTAGAACCTTAGTAACAGTGTGTGACAAGTTTCAACTTGTTCAGTGCAGTCAGTTGGGTGTGAGCTACAGTCAAGATAAGGTGTTTTCTAAAGTGTGCTGTAAATCATCCTCCATCATGACAATGCTCCGTGTCACATATCGTTTCTGGTATACGGCAATTTCTGTCAAATAAAAACATTATGGTGTGGGGGGCTGGACGAGTGGCTCAGTNTGCCATTTCACAACCAATAGAATGGCTATAATCAAAGACAGATAATAAGTGTTAGCAAGGATATGGAGAAATCTCAACCTCATATCCTGCCCATGCAGGCCACTTTGGAAAACACACAGCCATTTTCTCAAAAAGTTAGAGTTACCATATGACCCATCAATTCCACTCCTAGGTCTATACTACCAAGATAGTTGAACACATATGTCCACACAAAAATGTGTACATGGATGTTTGTAGCAAAATTATTCATAATAGTCAAAAAGTGGAAACGACCCAAATGTCCATCAACTGATGATGAATAAACAAAATGTGGCATATTCATATAATGCAATATTATTCAGCCATAAAAAGAAATGAAGTATTGATACATAATATAACATGGATGGACCTTGAAAACATTATGCTCAATGAAAGAAGCCAGACACAAAAGGGCACATATTATATGATTCCATTTATATAGAATGTCCAGAATAGGAAAATCCAGACACAGAAAGTAGATTAGTGGTTGCCAGAGGCTGGGGAACAAGGGGAAGAGAGATTTAATGGAGAGTGACTACAGTGGGTACAGTTTCTTTTGGAGGTGATAAAAAATGTTCTGGAATTAGATAGTGGTGATGGGTGCATAACTTTGTGAATACACTAAAAAAAATAACACTGAAATTTACAAATTAAAAGGATGAACTTTGTGATATATGAATTACATCTCCGGGAAAAAAAGATCAATATAATGGTTGACATGTACAAAAATCATGCTTTTTAGTAATACAGTCCTCCCTTGGTATCAGGGGGCAGAGTGATTCAAGGAACCCCTCAGATACCAAAATCCAAGTATCTCAAATCTCTTACAATGTAGTATTTTTTTTCAAATATTTTTGATCTGTGGTTGGTTGAATCTGTATAAGGAAACCATAGTCAACTGTAATCATATTTTATACACATACACTATGATAAGCAGATTTAAGAATATGCTATAAAAATATAAAGAAAGAGATCAAAACGCTGGGTTAATGTAACTGTAGGTGGTTTCTTTTTAAAATATTTGTGCATTTCCCAGATATTCTTTAATAAGCATGCACTGCTTTTTAAAAGTAGGGGAAGCTTTAATTAAAACAAACAAAAAAGGGAATTTTTAAACTTCCGAGTGTATAAAAACTCATTAGCTTAGTAGTCAACGGTCTCAGCTGACATGATCCCCCAAATACTTTTCANAAAAAAAAAAAAAAAAAGCATTACAGTGTGTCCTTATTAACCGAATCTGGCACCATGTGACTTCTGGCTCTTTCCCAAAGTCAAGATGGTTCAGGACATTGAGGCAGCCACAACAGCACAATTAAAGACACACTCATCAAATAGGACTTCTAGAACTGCTTCAGAAAGTGGCAAGAACGATGGGATAAGTGTGTTTGAAGCAAGGGGGAGTATTTTGAGGGGGATTAATGGCAATGTGTCTTTTACTGTAATTTTTTTTTTAATTTAAACATTCACCATATTGTTTAATCACACCGCACAGCTCACTTATAATTTGAATTAAGACAATGAAAAAAATATAGCCACTAAATGCAAAATGCAAGGAATTTATTAAGAAAGGGGGCTTCATTTATCACAGAACAATTCAAATAGCCATAGAAATTACATGAATTCAGTTTCGTTTAAATACCCTGACATTTCATACTTTATATAGATAATTGAAGCTCAGAGCTAATAATTTCTCTTCCCACTGTTACTATTCTCCCGACCCCTAACTATAAAAAACAGTGACTTCCAATCACAGAGACATTTTAGAATTCTTAGATGGAAACATACATTTGACAAAAGCATTTTTTATACTATCCTGTATTTTATAGTGTGATAAACAAATCATATTCTTTTGTAGAATAAAATACAGTGAGTAAAGATCTATGAAATCACTTTACTTCTTGGGTATAAATTAATATAGGAAAGAAAGAGAAAGAAGTCTAATTTCTAATAAATTATTAAAACTCCACTTTAGTCAACAAAGAGAAAGCTGAAAAACTGAGAATTGTATTAAACTTTTAAGAAGTTCATTCATTGTATAAATTGAGGCTGATTGTATACTCCAAATGTACTAGGTTTGTAGGACTACCTTAGTTCTACATAAGTAAAACTTATTTCTTTTCAGATAATGAAAAGATTTCACACTTTGAAAAATAAGATAAAAAAATATAAACTAGCTTAGAGAACTTTCTAGCTGTATTTTAAATTAAAAAAAAAGCAATAAAATCCCTATAACAAAATATTATTTATTTATGGGGTTTCATTCATAAGAAAAAAGCTTAGATCTCTAATAAAGTATAATCTTTCTTTAAAATGATATGTAAATATAAATCAAGAGCTGAAAGACTCATATTTACTTGATACACAAAATCCTATTAACATTTTATTTGCATAAAAACTAATGAAAGGTTTGCCTACATGAGCATATAGTCAGGATCAAAATAAAAACAAACAATATTTCTTCTGAGTCCATTCCTGGCTCTACATTAAATATTCAACAATGTAGCAAAACCTCAAAAACCAAAGAGAAAAAAAGCACAACTAAGTACAAGGGCAAAGCTAACTCAGGAATGACAATGAATTTCTATAACACAAACTATGTGATGAAAAACAGAAGGAAAACATACAGGATAAGCTCCCTAAGAAAAGCACCCATTTTCATTTGTTAGTACTTTTTTCTTCCCTTCACAGACACAGTGGCTGCCTCTGAGCTGTTTCCCTACTCCTTCTATACAGCTCAAAGTCTTTGCAAAAATTAAAAAATATATGATTATGTGCCAATTTCAAAAATAGACTTTAATCTAGGAAACGAAGGGAAAGATCTAAGCATGATTTGGAGAATAAAGAAACACAAAACAAAATAAAAAAAGACCTGACAAATATGAGCAACAATATTTTATGGTTCAAACCAAAGATTATCTTCTAAATCAAACCTTACAATTTTGAATTTCAAAGTAAAGCTGCTTCATGGTCAAAACTGAAATATTTCTATCATACACATTCCCTTCATACCTTCTGACAAGCTCGTTTGCATACATGTTTATATTCCTTGGCTTTGGATTCAGAATGATAACCTGCACCTGTAGTGGAACAAACCAACCAATTGTTAGTATTCATTAAAATATCAGAGTCCTTGCTTATATTATATAAATAGTTCATACAAACTGATGCTTCCCCAGTGACAATAAAACTATTGTCTTAACTATACGGATTTTTAAAAATCTAATAGTTTCTTTCTCCATCATAAAAGCCTTGTTAATACCATGCCTTATCTACTTTTTCAAAAGCTATTTTCCTGGGAGAGGCACTAGAAATAGCTCATGTCCCCAAAGAGGCTTTACCAAGGTCACCTTTCCTCCTTCTGAAAAACCTCTCTCCAAAGTCAGGAGTTCTTTGGTCTGGCGTTGATAACCCAAGCAGTGTCAGGGACAGTTCCTCTCTGTTGACCTTTACAAAGCACCTGCCATTCGGGAATCCAGAATTCTTAAGAGTAATTTTAGAAAATGAGGCAGTTTCTAAATAATACTTGAAGTTGAGGGATGTTGCATCCCGCCTGTCCACAATCACCACCAATAATACCACCACTCCTACCCAAACCTTTATACATCCTCTCACCTCCCGGAATGTAGGCTGAGGTATCTCTGAAACCTCAGTGATGGTATATTCACAACTGCCTATTAGAAACTCTGGCAGTCCCTGGTCTTTTGATCAAAATCCAGCAACTTCCTCAAAAGAAAGTCTCTGAAATGTGTTTCCCTAAAAAGGATTAATACTTGCTTAGTTAGGGATTTGAGAATAATCTAAATAAGAAAGAAACCAAGAGTCCTTAAACTGTGATAATTAGGCTTCCAATCAAAGTTCTGACCCCTCCTCTCCGCCCCCTCCCCACAAGACTCCATAGGGGTACAAAAAAAGGAGGATTAAGAACTCTATCTCTAAGCCTCATGGCTCCTCATGTGAGGCTGAAGACTGCACAAACTTAACCCTCCTTTCCTCAACGCTGAGAAAGAACTGGCCATGAAGCTATGGTCAAGTGACCCAAGAGAGCAGAAAAGATTCCCAAGCAACAGAATTCATAATACACCCAAATTCAATCCTGTTTTTCAGGACTTCACAGAACCAGCTCCAATATTTAATAGGCGTCTCTTCATGGCTCTCTAATAGGTGATCTCAGGTCTGCTGTCTTACATCTCAGGGTCCCAGGCTTTCAGCAGTGTTCCCAAAGATTGGGACACTGTTGCCACAGAGATAACTTTAGTGTATGGATGATAGCATTAATACATAAATCCTTCTGTATTATAATAGGGAAAAAGTCTCAACATGGCTCCAGTATATCTTTAATATCTGGTTAACACTTGCTAATTCCTCTGTTTAACAAAGGAGAGGTAGGCTTCCGATCGAAGCCACTGCCATGCAACAGGATCTAGGTAAAATTCAATTACACTGTTTTGTTTGGTCTAAAGTTATTTTCTCTTAATGCAAATTATGGTGAAATTCCATTTCAGTAAAGATAAGTTTTATCTTTAAAATTTTAATATGAAAAAGCGTTTTGTAACACTAGGTAAACAATATAGGTAGTACACCGATGTAATTGAAAAATCAAGAAACTACCATTCAAATGACTAAAATTTGGGTAAGTCTCCTCTAGTACTAAAACAACAAACAAAGAAAAACATTAAAATCTCTACACTGGATGAGGAATTGAAATTCTGTCCCTTAATGGTGCAAGATATATACTTCTAGATAACCAATCTGACCTTCTAATAATAAGTCACCCTTAATCCACACCCATTTGCCATAACCCAAATTTCCTCCAATTACTGCTGGCCCCAGCAGCAATTTTATCTAGCAGCCATTACCATCAAGTGTGTGTCTGAGAAAGGATGGATATTACCATGACAGGCATGGAAAGCAATGCTTTCCAAGTAATCAAAAGCTCTATGTTCTTGTTTGTTATAAATGTCAGACCTTTC